TGATAAACTGAGAATTGGTTACAGACGTTATTAGTATCCTGTTGCTGCTGTAAAAAACCTACTGTAGGGGCGCCTGGGTGGCTCAGTCATTGGGCGTCTGCCTTGGGCTCAGGTCATGGTCCCAGGGTCCTGGGATCGAGCCCCACATCAGGCTCCCTGCTCCACGGGGGGCCTGCTTCTCCCTCTCCCACTGCCCCTGCTTGTGTTCCTCTCTCTCTGTCAAATAAATAAATAAAATCTTAAAAAACAAAAAAAACCTACTGTAAAGTTAGGGCTTGAAACAACACAAATCTATTAGCTTATACTCCAAACTATACTATAAAGCTATAGTAATCAAAACTGTAGGGTACTGGCATAAAAACAGACACACAGATCAATGGAACAGAACAGAGAAGCCAGAAATAAATCCACACTTACATGGTCAATTAATCTATGACAAAGGAAGCAAGAATATACAGTGGGGGAAAGACAGTCTCTTCAATAAATGGTGCTGGGAAAACTGGATAGCTACATGCAAGAGAACAAAACTGGGCCCCTTTCTTACACCATACACAAAAATAAACTCAAAAGGGATTAAAGGCCTAAATTTATGAAACCAAAACTCCTAAAAGAAAACATAGGCAGCAAATAATACATTATATGTTTTTTTTTAAAAAAAAGAAGATAGTAGGAAGGGAAAAATGAAGGGGGGGAAATCGGAGGGGGAGATGAACCATGAGACACTATGGACTCTGAGAAACCAACTGAGGTTTTAGAGGGTAGGGAGGTCAGGGGATGGGTTAGCCCAGTGTCGGTTATTAAGGACGGCACGTACTGAATGGAGCACTGGGTGTTATACACAAACAATGAATCATGGAACACTACATCAAAAACTAATGACATAATGGTGACTAACATAACATAATAAAATAGAATTAAAAAAAAAAAGAAAACATAGGTAGCAATCCCCTGGATATCATCAGTCTTAACAATATTTTCTGGATCTGTCTCCTCAGGCAAGGGAAACACAGTTAAGGAAAACCATCAACAAAATGAAAAGGCAATATACTAAATGGGAGAAGATAATTTGCAAATGATATATCTGAAAAAGGATTAATATCCAAAATATATAAAGAACTCATATAACTCAATACCAAAAAATAAAAAAATCCCATAAATAATCCAATTAAAAAATAGGCAGAGGACCTGAGTAGACATTTTTCCAAAGACATACAGATGGTCAACAGACACATGACAAAATGCTCAATATTACTAATCATCAGGGAAATGCAAATCAAAACCATGAGATATCACCTGACACCAGTCAGAATGGCTATATCAAAAAGATAAGAACAAATGTTCACCAGGATGTGGAGAAAAGGAAGCCCTTATGCACTGTTGGTGGGAATGTAAACTGGCGCAGCAACTATAGAAAACAGTATGGAGGGTCCTCAAAAAATTAAAAATAGAAATACCATACAACCCAGTCATTCCACTTCTGGATATTTATGCAAAGTAAACAAAAACACTAATTCGAAAAGATATATGCATCTTTTTGGGGAAAAAAGTAAAGTATCAATGTTAATTGAGACTACCAATTTACAGAAATTCATTCATTTTAAAGTATAAGCAGCCAAAGAAGTGATTAAAGTCATAATCAAACAGATTACAAAACAAAAACATTGTTTTGATAAGAACAGTTAGTGAACACATTAGCATTTAAAGAAATGTTCACATTAATAAAAGGGGAGGAGAGAGAAGTAGATGTGAAGAAGAAAAATCCTGACATTACAGTTTTACTATATTTACCCTCATTTGGATAAGAATGACATTCCTGAGACTTCCTGTGATTTCTCAAATTCAAGAATATCTACACAAGCTACTTTTTTCTTCCATATAATGATTATATATAAAATAACTGAAAGATATATGTCCATTTCAGAACCTGCATGGAAGTTATTGTGACAAGAAGAGAACAGACTTATTAAGACATGGATGCTGAGTGGTATACTCTGCTCAAGAGCTAAATAATTCACTCTCACACAGCAGGCTCTCCATCCAAGTAATTCAAATTCCTGCCATTTCAAAATCACCTCAGGGCTGCTCATGAATTGTTCAAATCTATAATGTTAAATCTACTGTAAGACTTGTGCAGAGGGTATTTTTCTAGAACTATAAATTAAGGAGTTCTGATCCCCATAATCTGTAAGATTTTATTTAAAACTATTTTTTTTATGCACTTCCAGAGGAAATAATTGCCCTCACTTTAAGGTTTAAAGTATTCAATGCTTTAAATATGAGTGCAGCAACAAAAAACTGAGAACCTAATTCAAAATCCAAATTCCCAGGCTCCCATCATAGAGCTAATGAATGAGAATTTGTGGGAGCAAGGCTACAGAATCTATAGTTTTAATAAGCTCCCAGGAAGAAAGCCCCATAAAGGACTTTGTGCTGTCATTTGGGACCACTGAGACATATTCGACATTTTCAGAAATTTGACAAAATTTAACCATTCATTATTTTTAAACTGAATGTTAACTTTGGGAGAACTCTCAATTTCATCATCAAACTTTATTATGCTAACACTTCAATGATTTTTAAAAATCCAGTGTTATTTTCTGAAGTTCACTTTTTATATATATCCAAATACCAAAACTCATTTTATACTTATAAATTATAAGCAGTTAACACTTTTCAGACAAGTAACAGCTTCCAAAGAGTGAAATACCAAAACCATCCCATTCATCCACCAATAATCCCCCAATGACTATATAAAATCCATCTATTTCAGAATACACAAGTTGTATGTGCAATAGCTGAAGGGTATTCATTCAGATGGAAGAGTATCATTTAGCTTTATCATAGCCTAGCTGTCACTGTGCCAGTCTACAGTTCATGTATGGTCCTTTAGAGAGATGCTAAGTCTCATAAATTGTCAAAAAAGAAAAAAAAAAAAGCTCAGAATCTCTTAAATAATCAAAATTCCTATGATTCCCATCCTGCTTTTGTTACACCTGACTTACTCCTTTTTAAAAATTTCTTATCATTTCTCTCAGTCTATCTCCCTTTCTCTTATCTCTAAAATCACCTCCCTTAACTTTTATGACATCATTAGTCACCTGTGCCAATAAATTTACTATTTGTAGCTTTCAAAGATGAGTCAAATTTCTCATAAGTTACCAAGAAGATATTAAATTCGGGTGAACTTGAATCCAACTGAAAATAAAGTGTATCACTGCGAAGACCTTTTAATTAAGATGAGTTTATTTGGGGTTTTCCAAAGGAAATAACCATCTCTAATCAAATAAGAATGCCTAGGATGGAAAAGGAAAAAATGCTAACTCTCAAGAGCCATTTAGTAAACAGCTGAGTAAAAAGCAGAAAAGTAAATATTGACTATGTTTAATAAAAGCTTTGAGAAAAATTTTGTTTTGAAAGGAAAGCTACTTTAAAAAAATAATTATAAAATACTATTAACTACCATAAAAAGCTACCCTGAGAAAATACACTACCTGGCAAAATAATTTGAAATTACATATAAACCAAAAATTTTATATTTAAAATATAAGTGATTATACTATAAGGATATGAAAAAGAATTTAGTCTGCTCATTTCATGGATAGATCTTTTCACTGTGATAGTAGAATTTTAAATGAACACTTTTTCAACTAGTAAAAATACCAACAGAAGGTTAAAGAAGTCCTTTATAAACTAACATAATACAGTTCAGTAAAAATACTGTTAGGCTTTCTCACCCATTCCCTTAAAATATGACAACAATGAAGAAACACATTTTGGAATACAACAGCTTGGAACCAGTTAAAACAAAATCCACTAATAATGACAAGTTTGCCAGGTAGGTTTGACCAAAGATCTCTACATAAATTTCTTATATTTATTGATTTTTCTGATAAAGATCTCCTATGAAGAAGAATAAAATGTACTATATGTAAACAGAGGCTACAAGTAAATCAATGCACTGTATATACTGGATGATTATATTTTAATAATTCTTATAATTGCAAAAATTATTTTATTTGCCTATATTTAAAATTTAAAGTATAAAAACATTAAGATTAAGGTTTTATAATCTATTTTTTAAATATAAAGCTACTAAATCAAAAACAACAAGATAAAAATCAAGTTCTATGAATAAATATTTTAAAAGTAAGTACTCTAGGATCATAACACTGACAACACTAATTATCTTTTCTACTCTTGGCAGTTATGTTGTATACTGTTTGGGTGACTGATGGGATAATTTCACTTCATTTTCTTTCAGTTTATTCTGGACCATGTAGGAGAAGAATATTAAAATAATTAACACCTCTAAACAAAGTACTTGATAAAGTTTTTAGTTTAAATAAAACGCTTAAAAAAACCTCAATTAGCTAATACATGATTCTAGAGCAAATAACAACTAACCCTCTACTTGCTAAAGGAAAACTTTCACTAAGAATTTGATTTTTAAAAATGTCATTCAGTATTAATATTAACTATTTTAAGGACTTTTATATATTAAGATCATACACTTTCACAAAAAGTTCATCAGTTTGAGCTAGCATTACCTGAATTATCCTGCTTAATTCCCATATAATAAATTCCCATTAAAAATATGTCTATTTTTATATCATTAAAGATTTTACTCACTAAAAACATTTAATCAGGAATCAAAGCAGTCAGAAACAGGTAAAATGTATGACAAAACAAGTTATTCCAATTCCTTACACCTACAGATATTTTGATTAATTTATTGATAATGGCCTTATAACCAAAAGAAAACTAAAGTATTTAAATTAATATTTAATCTCAAATATAAATCTTTAATAATAGCAAATACATTGTCACTCAACTCGAAAAAGTATGACATTAATAATTAACTTTTTTATTTGAACATTTTAATAGATTTTAAGTTATACATATAGTTTATGTATGTCTTACATAATTTATAAGTCATATAGCTTATAATAAGGCTACACATTAAAAATAATTAATAAAAGCATATTCTTTGCCTTGATCACCTGATTTTTTGTTGTTGTTGTTTATAAAATTAATCACAGTTAGCAGGGTAGAAATCGCTTTGAGCTTCATGAATGACATCCAAGAGATGGGAAAGGATTAGTTCTCAGTTGCTGCCAGTTATAGCGCCAGGTGGCTTTTTCTGCAGTGAAGGTGTTACCGATAATCCCATTACACTGGTACTAAATCTTGCAGACATCAAAATTATCACCAAGGTTCCTTTTCATCCCATCCTTTCCAAATGACTGGAAGTCGCTTCACCTGAAAGAAGTCAAATCCACATGCAGCTGCTGTTTTAGCAGGCAGCAAACTCCCTGAGAATGCCAGTCGTGATTCAATTTTGCTGTGCTGGTGGCCCCCTATTCCCTGTCCAATAATATATCTGTTAAAAAATCCTACAGCTACAAATCAAGTTTAATCCTACCAGGGACCTCATGTTGGTCTTGTCTTCCAAAAAGGCAGCAGGTTCTGCTGTCTATCTCTGCTAGCGTCTGGGGAATACCCTTTAAGTCCCAGCTCTACTTAGAAGAATAAGCTAAGGATCACAAAACATGACCTCAAAAACCCTGATATGACTATATTCTGACCCAGAGGCATTCATTCTAGGTGAAGATTAGAACTTTGCATAATAAGATTACACAGCAAGTGAATGATATCAAGGGACTATCCATATGCAGCCGCCTGGTTTTCTATAGACAGCCTGTGCTCTGCAATATGCAGTGCAGACGAAAAAAAGCTTGGTCTTTCTAGCTGAAATAAAATAGATTCACATAAATTAGTTGGCCATTTCCAGATTCCTAAATCCCCTATTACATCTTTTATTGACAGCTCCTGTGAGGATAGCACAAATGTTATTCCTTTTTATTCTGTGCTTCTATAACAATCATGCTCTGTAATTGAAATGTACATAGATTATGGCTCGAAATTAACATCTTGTTTGCTTTAATCTTGGATTACAATTGACTGTGTACATAATAAAATTAGGAAATCAATGGATGGATTTATCATCTCCAAGAAACTAGAGGTATTGTTTAAAGAATAGTTTAACATTTTGTGTCACCACTTTTAAATGCAGAAGTAACAGAGAAGTCAATAAAAATTTGAGTAAAAGAATACAACGGGCATCATGCAATATCTACAGAAGAGTTAGATTACATAAAAATTAGCTCATTTCCCTCAAAATTTTAAAGTGTTAAAATTTTCAAAATGTGAAAAATTCAGAGATCTCATGATTTTCTCTCAAAAGCATACTTGAGCAAGAAGGTCAATTACACATAAGGTCTCTACCTTTTTTAAGTGGGTGCAGTAGCAGTATTTTATACACATCACCTGATCATTTATACTTTAAAATATTTGAATCAATTCAAATCAGTTGTAACTCAAGTTTTATAGTTCTTTTTTTTTTTTAAAGATTTTATTTATTTATTTGAGAGAGAGAGAGAGAATGAGAGACAGAGAGCACGAGAGGGAAGAGGGTCAGAGGGAGAAGCAGACTCCCCACCGAGCAGGGAGCCCGATGTGGGACTCGATCCCGGGACTCCAGGATCATGACCTGAGCCGAAGGCAGTCGCTCAACCAACTGAGCCACCCAGGCGCCCTCAAGTTTTATAGTTCTTAACTACATGTTTCTAAAGTATTTAATGAAGTTCCCTCTCCTTATATTTGAATATATACAGAGCATTTAAAATGTATAGAATCCTATGGGCGCCTGGGTGGCTCAGTTGGTTAAGCGACTGCCTTCGGCTCAGGTCATGATCCCGGAGTCCTGGGATCGAGTCCCACATCGGGCTCCCGGCTCAGCGGGGAGCTTGCTTCTCCCTCTGACCCTATCCCCTCTCATGCTGTTTCTCTCTCTCTCTCTCTCTCAAATAAATAAATAAAAAAATTAAAAAAAAAAAAAAAAAGATTAAAATGTATAGAATCCTAGAGAACTTTATGTTCAGTTTTTTTCTTCCAACAAGTTTAAAGCTATATGAGCTCTAAGCAAACTTATATGAAAAGAGAGATATACATTCAAAAATACCTATGCAGAAAATTCTAAGAATGAGGAGTTCTCTATTTTAAAAAAAAAGCATTAATATTTGCCATGGGATTCTTATAAAACTAAGCTTCTTGGTATACTTGAAATATGTTTGACAAGTTTGATTTGCCCACAACTGTTGAGGAGCATACTACATCCAATACATTAGCCATTATTTCCTTATCATCACAATATATTTAAGCATATCTATACAATATCTGATAAGTACTCAGGAGTCAGGTGACATAATTATGATTTTGTGTATTAATCAGGCAGATATATGCCAACAGAATCAGTCGCAGAGCTATAAAAAAACACCTCGTGTAATTTCAGTTACATAGCCCATGAATATTCTTTGGTCACTTGAGTAGGATATTACTAGAAAAGTAATGAAGAATGCAAAAAATACACATTTCTGTTATGATATTTATATGTAGTACTTTAGAGCTACCCTGTTCAATAAGGTAGCCATTAGCTACACATGGCTACTGAGCATGTGAAATGTGACTAGTCCAAATTGAGATGTGAGTATAAAATACACACTGGACTTTGAAGACATAGTACAAAAAATACTAAAATATTTTATACTGATTACATGTTGAAAGATAATATTTTGGATATAATGGATTAAATAAAATACATAAATGACTTGCATTATATTTCTATTGGACAGCACTGCATTAGCAAATCATACATTTTCAATAATAAATTCCTAAGCTAAATGAAATTGCACAACTAATAAAAAATACTAAAGCAGGCGGTTATTTTGGAAAAACAAACATTCCAATGTCAAGTCTGATAGATAAGCTAAGACAAGAACAAAATGCTGTCATTTCAGCCTGTATTTCATATTTCTAGCTTAAGGGTAACGGGGGAGAAGAAGGGACCAACCAAACTGCTGATCATCATATATCAAAAAAGAATGATGTTTTATAGTTACAAAAATGCTTTAGTCGAGTAAACATAGAATTGTACAAAAAATACATCTTGGGCAACTTCATAAAAGGACTAGTTAGGTCTATATGTCACCACTAATTGAATCCAATAGACCGCAACTTCAGAAAATATGTCTGGATCTAGAAAGGGCCATGATTTTTTTCTAAGATGCTATATATTATATTCAAAATTTAAAAATACACTAGAAGTAATAACTATAGAGATATGAAGCATTTAATGTATTTCATTAGTTTAGCAAAATAAAAAAGGTCAATTTCATAAATTATTAGAAATCTGCTTTTCCATTAGTCTTTTCATTATATTCATCACTGTAGGTTAAAAAATCCATTAATAAAAAGGGTTTTACAGAAATAAGGAAAACTATAAAATAGTTAAAATATAAAACATATACCTAATTTAATTCAAGAAAGTTAAAGGCAGATTTAGTATGACCCGACAACTGATGTCCTACAACTAAAATACAAAGTCTATCTTTGTCACACACTGGAATATTATTTCAATATAAACAGTAATATGTGAGGTATTAACTCACTTAAAAGTTGCTTTTTCATAATTTTACTTTATAATATTTATCTAAAAATACTAAGACTAATGATGAAATATGAGTATCAATAAGATAGATAAAATCTAAATCAATTCTTTCTGATCTAGCCATTTCACTTTTTCCTAGCCTTTTAAAAATTATGTAAGTTCCTTCCTTTTCTGGTAGCAAGTATCACACAGACACACAGACACAGAGACACACATAAAAAAATAACAATAAAAAAACTTTCCAAGCATCAATATATGAGTGTAATGATATTCAGTCTAAGTTAATCCCCAGACATCCAAATTCATGAATAAAAATTCATCAGTTTTAAATACACTGAGCCTATTAAGCAAGAACAAAAGCATATGCACAAAAGAGCTTTTAATATATTTCAAAGCCCACAAGAGCCATGGTCTCATTAAAATTATAAATTACACAAACATGGAATGAAGATTCAAACTGCAGTGCAGCTAAGCAGATTACAGAAAACCCCGCGTTCCATATGATAACACACCATGGCCCTCCCAGATGGGGGCTTGGAACAAAAAGGCCATCACCACAGCTAGGGAAAACCTCCTTGTGATCTCTGGTTTCTGTTCAGCAGATGACAGCCAAATAATATGTTGATTATTCTGTTTGTGCTGCTAAGCTTGTAAGATGGAATAAAAGCGATATGATCTATTGTGAACCCAATGCTAATGTGTTGCTCCACTCATAAATAATATACTGAATTTATTTTGAAACTATCTTTTATCTGAATTTCAGTTTTTAAATGCATGAATTAAAATAAAAGCCAGGATAAAATAATATTTAATTTGATGCTTTAAACTAAAAAATGTAATGACAAGTGAAAAATATCTAAGTGCGTAGTTAAGAGTCAAGTACAATTGCCTTTCTTTAATTTCAACACTGTGATCAGAGACAAAATACATCTTTAAATAGGCAATTACTCTCATCATGAAATATAAATGCAAAATTAAATAATACAATAATCCTGAAGTTTATAATATCCATTATTGACAAGATAATAACTAAAATACCAGAGCATATAAACATTTTTCTGCAATGTAATAGCACATAATCAGAACATATATCTAAAATATTTCTAAATAAAAATTATCACTGAAAGCCTTATGTTCATAACTTGTACACAAATGGATGCTAACAAAAAATCCTACTTAAAATAAAAATAATTAAAAAGATTCTAAAAATAATTTTCAAATATAACATATGTAGAGAACATCTTTTCTTTTTTATAGCTGTAGAGTATTTCATTGTATAGATATGCCATAGTTCATTTAACCACTACTCTCCTGATAGACATCCACGAAAGAAATATGCAAACATATTAATCAAAAAATATGTATTAGATATGTATAGTAATGTTATATGGAAAACCACTCAAATGTCCACTAATAGAATTGATAAAAAAAATAGTTGTGATATGGTCAAGTGGAGCAATGAAAATGAACCAACCACAACTACGTGCAACAATGTAGATGAATCTCAAGACATAATGCTGAGTAAAGGAAACCAGACATAAAAAAATTCTATTGTATAAATCTATACAATACAAAAACCATACATAATGTTCTTTTCTTTAACTGGGGGCTGGTTACATGGGTGTATTTGGTTTCTAGAAAATTCACTGAGCCATCTATTTTTAGTATGTGCACTTCTCTGTATATCTAGCTTTAAAAAGGCAGTTTTACACACAAATAAGTAGTATACAAAGGTAGTCAAAATCCTTGTCAA